CGTGTGCGCGTATGCGTGTGTGCGTGTGCGTGTGCATGTGTGTGTGTGTGTGTGTGTGTGTGTGTGTGTGTGTGTGTGTGTGTGTGTATGTGTGTGTGTGTGTGAGGATGGTGAATGATTTGTGTATTAGGTTTAGGTTGAAGTTTAGATCAGCAGGACGCTGAAAGCGATGACAGGGTAGTTATCATCTTGGGGAGGGGAAGGTTAATGTAGCATACGTTTTAGACAGGTAAGTTTTAGACTAGAATACTATGAAACTTATTCGAGCATTGTGACTCATTTACCATTAAGTTGTAAATCAGTAGTGTGCAGACAAGATCTAGGAATATAGAGACAGTTAATGGTGACATGTGGGGCATAATGGTGATAAATACTTTAATCAGAGGCCAGTGGGGGGGGGGGGTAACATCCCAGTTGGACTACTCCCATTTTGCCTACACCCATTTCACCTACCTTTTCGTAATTTTAACATCGATATTGAGGAAGGCCTGATTACAAACCAACTCACAAAGCTGAGATTTAAATTATTTATTGATTTATCAGAGAAATATCATTCCTGGACAAATGATAATATAGCACGAAATATGTCTAGATATTATTCTTGTATATTAAACAAACTGAAATATTTAGTGGATGAAATCTTATCGATATAGATCTCACCTTTTCTTTCTCCATGCCAAAGTCAGTGCACCTGTGTTCCACAAACATATCGTATTCCACAAATGTGCTTGGATCACACAGCAAGCTGATCCTTTCTCTGGCTGTCAGCTTGCCCTGAAATAATGTAATTATACTTCCATAATTATAATATACCATATTAAATTTAATCAACCTTTCAGATAACGAGACAGTAACATATCCACTAACAAAGGAGACTCAAGAGAATAAGAGAATAAGACTCTTTTAAATATTGATAATATAAAATTCTACCTTATCATCAGAAAAGATCATGACATGCTAAAACATTGGGATTATTCAAACAGTTACTACCAGTAGTCTACCTATAAATATATTAGCAATAATTCCAACCATTTAATGTGTATGTCTAACATCATGTGTATGCCTTAATTTCCTTGCTTACCACACCTACTCTAAATCTGCAGAGCCACTAACTATGGCCCTATTTCACTGGCAACTGTCAACAATTGAGATGTGGTGCCATGCGTTTGGCCAAACACTAAGGATGGTTGCCTTGGATATGCACGAACCATGATTTTCCCATCGGCAATTCAATATTGGCTACTATCAAGTCAACACTGAACAAATTCTCCACATTCTTGCTAAATATGGGAGGACTAAAAATATAGTCTTCATGTACAGCAACTGCTATACAACCTCTGATCTCTTCACTTGTCAAGGCAGAAGTCTCTCGAATACTGGCAACATTTTTCTACTCATCCTAACGCAACACCTCGCTTTGTAAACATTTTTACTATGATAATTTCCTACACTTATTCATAACACATTGTGTAACTGTTGTCACACTGTATTTTATTCCTATTTTCCCACAAACATCACTGTGTACTTCTGGTTAGCATAACTGTGTGTGTAAATATTACGTCACGATAATATATAGTAACCGCAATATACATGAATACATTTTAAAAGTATCTGTTAAATGGCAACATGCTACTATGAGGTCCATTCATGCATTGGTGCTATGCAGTACTGCCACGTGTCCTGTGACCTACTGTACTACATCTATTTCAGCAGTAACTAAATCTATCTGAGGACACCATTTCCTACAAGACTTCACTCTTAAAATAGAATAAACTGGGTAATAAGCATGGCAGCTTTTCAACGCTATTAGAGGTTATATCTGTAGTGTACGTCAAAATATCAGAATGGGTGAAAATGTTATTATGTCAGCCCAATACATATCAAGAGTACATCATAAATACACATTAATTTATACACTCAAAGATATATGCATGCATGCACGTCGTACCCACCATACTTCACCTAACCAGTCTTCACGAAAAACTTTTTGAGCCACTTGCCATTCGCAAGTATTCTGTAAAATGTATATATATATGCCCAAATGACATTTGTTGCCCATATATTTTGCAGGAATATTTTTGGAATATAGAGTAAAGAAGTGTACACCAGACAACTTCTAGAAGCCATTCGTTTCTGGTGTTAACATAAATATTTCGTGATATTAACATAAAAACCTTTAGTTAGTGGCCAGTTGTATTATAGTTTATGCACTTTTAAAGCAAGAGCCTGTCGTGCAAGTGAGCTTGCAATGGTTACATGCCCGCCGAGATTTCTACACGTCTCGGGCGTCGGACGCCCGGCTAAATTCCAAGACTGCCTAACCAAGGACAAATCTGCTTCTCTGCTTCATTCTCTCCGCTGCATAACAGCATAATATGCACCTTCATGTTACACTATTACAATAGATGCTAACATTTTTAAATGACTAGCATAATGATTTGTTGTGGTTGCTGAACGCAATCATAGCAAACCCCGGCAGCATTTGTGAAGCATTTTCAAAAAGAGAGGCTGTTTGGTGAATCTTGGAGACACTAATTTGAGGTCATTCTAGCAAAATGATTATATATATATATATATATATATATATAATTTATATATATATGTATTAGAGATATATGTTTATATATTATATCAGTGGCGTATCCAGCATAGGGCGGAGCCGGCGTACGCCCCCCCCCCCCCGTTTGCAGGCCCAGAGAAAAATCAAAACTTAAAAAAAATTCTTTTTCGTAGCAGTGGGTCCAGTGTGCTCCACAAGGACCTCCCTTTGCAAATGGATACGGTGGTCAACATCTTCATCAGAAGGAAGCCTCAAAGGTTGCTATTGGCAAACCCCATGGGGGACGCTTAAGGTCATGAACACACAATCATGACCTGAACATCTCAGTGGCAATTATTAGTAGGCCTAATTGTCACACTGACTTCTCACCCTGACCTGTGTACCAATCGGAGCTAATCATCAACATGATCAAGTGTTTTTCACACGCACCCGCGAACGCACGTGTATGTGCACACGCACGCACGCACGCACGCCCGCACGTGTACGTGCACACGCACGCACGCACGTGTACGTGCACATGCACGCACGCACGCGCGCACGTGTACGTACATACTCACGCGCGCACGCACGCACGCACGCACGTGTACGTACACACGCACGCACGCACTCACACACACGCGCACGTGTACATGCACACGCACACACGTACGCACGTGTACGTGCACACGCACGCACGAACGAACGTGTACGTGCACATGCACGCACGCACGTGTACGTGCACACGCAAAGACTGTAGCATTACAACGACACCCATGCATGCGTATGTGTACTGTGCGGTCGAAATACGAACTATTTTGTCACAAATGACCTGACCCCGAATAATTCGTGGCAAAGTTCGCGCATGCGCAGACTGTAACTACGAACTGGCCCTGTGTTTTAATACATGTATCATTACTATAGTAACCTAACCTCAGGTGTGTACGCTCTCTGAAAAGTCATAAAAAGTGTTTTAAATCCTAAATTGTAGGGTTGCGTCTAGGGTTGAGATAGTGTCATCAGACATCAGAATATGGCCCACAGTATGCCTCAGATTGCAGGAAAATGGCTTCATATAATTCTGGGGGAGCATGCCCCCCCCCGCGCTGGCGTGCCGTAGGCACGTGGGCCTGTCAGCGGCAGCCAAGGTACATTTCGCCCCCCTGTTCATCAATTTCTGAATACACCACTAATATATTATATACTAGCTGCTGGTACCCGCTGCGCTGGGTAAAATCGTGCTACTAATTCATACTACTAATAATGGGACACAATAGGAACATTGGGTAAAAATCGACAATAACATTGCACA